AAAACGTTAGCGGGATTCCACTAAAAAGGCAGAAAAGAAGGTCATGATTATCGAAAAATATTCACAGTGCTAAAAACAGTGCGGGACAAGAGAATAAGGAAGTATTCTTTTGACCACTGCAAACAGTAATTATTAACATGCCAAATGGTGACATCAAAATCCTTATGAACAATGTAAATCTAAGCCGAACTAGGAGCATATAATACAGGGAGGGAATTCAAGATAGATCGCAGACTTCTGCTCTCTTAATGATATTGTGAATGGATGTAGCGTGTACAAATACAAGGGAATATACAAAGCAACATGGATTTTGACTGACGGATACACCACAAACCAGATAAACTTCATCTGAATACTGCTCAAGTGAGTGGAGCTTGCTGGATAAATATTCGAGTAGAAAAGCAGATGAAGGCTCAGACAATCATTTACTTTAACGTGAATCTGAAATCCTACAGAACAACTGGAGACAAACCACTGTAATTCACGTTCAACATTCAGAAACCGAAGTAGAAAACTGGTACGGACGCCCTAACTACACATCGGAGACACTAAATAGCATCACTAAGGAAACCTGTGAGAAAGAGCATCAGAAGTCGATGTTCTAGGAAACACGTACTAATGTACTAGGGAGAAGGGAAAACCAAGACAAGAATGACTCCAAACGGACACCTACCTGGAAGCTAATCGAAGATAGGAAAGTGGGGTGGTTAAAGAGGAGGTAACTCAATGCAAAGACGGAAAACACAAGGAGACTATGTGTTCAATGCACACTCCACTAAATAAGGAATTGAAGAAGAGTGCCAGGAAAGACAGAAGGTAATTTATTCGACAAACTAGCTTGCGAATAAAGCAGAATAAGTAGTGCGCAGTTAGAACCTCGCAAGATTACTAGCTTGCTAGGCTACTAGCTTTCTATTTTTCTAGCCGGTCCCAACCCAGGGTAAAGAGGGAGGGTTGGGGCGTGGTGCTAGCAACTCTACCCCTGTAAAACAACCAAATCGCTACAAAAACTTCAACGAATAAAAATATATTAAAAATTCTAAAAACTTAAACAATAACCTTATTTTTTGCTGGAATCGGAGAAGCGAAATGACGCAGGCTGGTGAAAGCCTTCGGGAAGCCAGTCAGCCGATGTGCCTTCTTTCGATGAAAGCAAAAGTAAGGATGGGTACCTGGAATGTTCGTGCGATGTACGAAACTGGAAAGGCTGCCCACATAGACGCTGGAATGAGAAGACAGAGAATAGAAGTGTTGGGAATCTGTGAGAGCAGATGGAACGGAACTGGAAGGTGCCAACTACCAACTGAAGAGACAATAATCTTTTCCGGTCACCCAGAGGACATCCACGAGCACACCGAGGGAGTGGCCATCACCATATCACCAACAGCAGCCAAAGCGCTCATGCAGAGGAAACCAATCTCCTCCAGGATAATGACAGCAAGGTTCAACTCAAAAGGATGGAAGGCGACAATAATTCAATGCTATGCGCCTACAAACGTCTCAGAACAAGAGAAGAAGGAGGCGTTCTACAGACAACTACAAGCATTAATGGACAACGTCCCAAATGTCGATATCAAAATCCTGATAGGCGACATGAATGCGAAGCTGGGAGGAGACATCACAGGAAGTGAACTCACCATGGGTCGTGAGGCCCTCGGTGAAATGAACGACAATGGTGAACTCTTCTCAGACTTCTGTGCCTTCAATGATTTGGTGATTGGCGGCAGTGTGCTCAAACATACATACACAAGACGACATGGATTTCACCAGATGGAAACACCAAGAACCAAATAGACTTCATCTCAACTTCCATAAAGTGGAGACGGAGCCTACTGGACACAAGGTCAAGGATTGGAGCAGATGTGGGTTCAGACCACTATCTAGTACAAGGGACTTTCAAGGTGAAGCTAAAAGCCTTCAGGATAGCTGAAGATAGGCCATAATGCAAGTTCAGAACTCAATTGCTGAAGGATACAACCGCAAAAGACACTTTCATTGCAACAGTGAGAACAATGCAAGAAACACTACGCGACATCACTGAAGAATCATGTGTGGAAGAACATTGGAACTCTCTGAAGGCGATTCTCAACGAAACGTGTTCGTGAAACTACCAAAGAAGGGCGACTTAGGCCCCACTCTGCAAGAACTGGCGAGGAATCATGCTCCTGTCGACGCCAAGTGCAATCCTGAGTCGCATCATCCTGGAGAGATTAAAGGACGCACTGGAGACAGACCTCCGACCAGAACAAGCTGGATTCAGGAAAGGCAAATCATGTACTGCCCAAATTGCAACTCTACGCATCACCATCGAACAAAGCAAGGAATGGCGATCAAACCTCTACCTCAACATTATAGACTTCGAGAAGGCCTTCGACAGGCAGCGTTGACCGCAAAGTAAATACTCATCAACCTTATTCAACAGCTGTACGACAACGGCACATGTCAAGTGATCCACAGCGGAAAATTCAGCGAGGCGTTTGGAGTAAACGCAGGAGTCAGACAAGGGTGCTTATTATCACCCACGATGATATTTCTAATTGTGGTGGACTGGATTATGCGTCAGACATTGTGAATCGAGAAGACAGGGATATCCTGGACCGACGCGAAGAACCAAGAAGACCTGGACTTCACGCGTGGATGATTTATGTTTGATGTCACACACAATCAAAGACTTACAAGCGAAAACCAACAAACTGGTCGAAGAAGCAGCCGGCGAAGACAGGACCCAGGTAAACATAGAGATGACGGAGGTTATGAAAATAATCAGCCAACAACAACAACAGCAGCAGCATCCAGCACCAATCACCATTAACGGGAGGGATTTGAAAGAGGTTACTCCATTCACTTATCTAGGGAGCATTGTCTCAACTATAGGAGGTACGGACGAGGATGTCAACTCAAGAACCGTGAAAGCGAGAAACACATTCATCAACCTGAAATCAATCTGGAAATCTTCGTCACTCAGCCTCAACAACAAAATTCGGATTTTCAATACAATAAAGTAGTCAGTTCTTCTATGCAGATCGGAAACTTGGCGGGCGGGTCACGAAAAATATTTCCAACAGCCTGTTGCAGACCTTCATCAACCAACAACTGTCTTCGCTCTATACTGAAGATCAGATGGCCGGAAAGAATCACCAACAAGGAACTATGGGAACAAACAAAGGAAGAACCAATCGCCTAACAAATATGGAGGAGAAAGTGAAGATGGATAGGTCACTCGCTGAGGAGACCGCTGAGTGGCATCGCGCCTCAGGCCCTCGAGTGGAACCCGAAAGGGAAGCGGCGTGTGGGACGTCACTGCAAGGGTGACATGGAGGAGATCGTGTGAAGAGGAGCTGAAACAGTATGGACTAACATGGACGCAGGTGAAAAGTACAGCATAAGATAGAAGCAAATGCAGACGTGAAGTTGAAGCGCTATGTTCCACTAGGAACCCGATGGAACAATAATAATAGAAGATACCTGAGAACATTATATCAGATGATAATGACGTTTTTATCCGAAAAATAAGCTCAACCCAATTTAAGATGATCAAGAGGACGTAATTACGAAAAAAAGAGACAAACAAAACGACGGGCTGATCATTTTGAAGGACTATGGAATCGTCTGTCATTTGCAACTCGCCCCGAAATAGCGCCACCACTGACAGCGATAACAGAGCCGCCTACAAGTAGACACCGATGCCCCAATAAAAGCAAAAGTCACGAATGCGATAAAGCTACCCCGTCAAACTGCCAACGAAGGGCGACTGCTGCCTCTGCAATATCTGGGCTGGACTGATAATGTTGTCTTCGCCAAGTAGAACTACCGATTTTCATCATCTTGCAGAGATTAAACGATGCACTGGATAGAGACTCCACCATTCACCGAGACAAGCTGGATTCAGGAAAAGAATATCATCTGCTGATGAAATTGCATGTCTACCCATCGTCATCACAGAACGTCATTTCTGAACAAAGCATAGAATGACAGCAAAACCTCACTCCGTCTCAGTTTCATAAACTTTGGAAACGCCTTCGAGTGTGTAGCGTTGACAGAAAGGTAAAACTACAGTGTGCTGTTTCCAAGTCTTCATCAGTCTCATTTAACAGCTGGCTATATGACAATTTTACGTGTCAGGTGATCCACAACGAAAGCTGAGCAAGGTGTTTGAAGTGAATAAAGGAGTATGTTAAGGCGGTTGCCTATAATCACTACGGAAATTCCTAGTTCTTTTTCACTGCATTATGCTTCAGACTCTCCCTGAGAGTGAGGGTACAAGAAAAAGCTGGACCTCCGAAAAGAAGACATCAGAAGCTCTTGATTTCGTTTATGAAATATGTCTAATGTCACACAATCTTAAAGATTTATGGTAGAAAAGCAACAAACTGCCAGAAGTGGTAGGGGTAAAAGGCTAGACTCCAGGTGAACAGAAATACAATGGAGGTGATGAAGATAACCAACGAATAGCAGCAACAACAACAGTCAGCACCAATCACCATCAAACGGTAAGATTAAGCAGTGGTTACCTCCTTCAATGTACTTCGCCGCAACATATAGAATAAGATTCACATTTTCAACACTGATGCCAAATTGATCCTTCTATAGAGATCAGAAACTTGACGTGTAACGAAAAGTATTTTAAACTGGTCGCACACATTTATCAATAGCTTCCTTCTCGAGCTCCATAATAAAAACCAAATGGTCAACCAGAAAGAATTAGCAACGAAAACCTCTGGCTGGGAACAAGCCAATCAAGAGCTGATAGCTCAGCAGATGTGTGTGAGAAAGTGGAGATGGATAAGGCACACATTGAGGAGCCCGTCGGATGCATCGTGTGCCGGGCAGTCTCCCGATTTAAATTCCAATGGGAGGCGACAAGTTTGTTGTCCCAATGTGACATGTAGGAGATCTTATTAGGAGTAGGTGACAGATTATAAGCAATCGTAAACCCAGCTGAAGAGGACTGGAAGAAAATAAAACGTGGTCGAAATGAGTTGTTAAAGTCCTGTGCTCCAATCAGAACCCAAGGGAAAAATAATTAATTGTAATGAATTTCAAATTAAGAAGTATTACAAATGTTGGTTAAAAAAATCAGTCATACCAAGAACTTTGTAATTAAAGGCTTTATCTCCTTCCAGTACCTTCTTGTATTCATCTACAGAGAAAAGAAGCATTTTTAGTACATAATTAATTCTCGAATAGCCAAAAATCTGCACTGTGTATTTGTAAACTGCGACGGTGGGAAAGTGTAAATTATGTTCATTTTTAAACAGATGACATTTTGAACAGTATTAAATCTTCGTAATAATCTGAAAGTCATTCTAAAATATAATAGTTAGGCACATCTGTCCAAACAGATATCATGAGTGAATGCTGTCGCTGGGATCATTTTGGGTTGAAGGAAGACAAATTATGCATTAGTGTGATTGTACAACTGCGAATCATCATCAAACAGCCAACTGACTACCTCATCCCCATCAAATTTACGGATACTTTCGACAGTGTCGATCATGAAATAACTCGTTTGATTTACCAACACTGTTTAATGCTGCATATTCTGATGCATCCCATTCACCATACATATAATGATGCCAAATGCAAAATAATTCTCAACCAAAATTTCCTTGAATCACTTGAAGTTAGGACAAGGCCGTCTTCATGCACCTTTAGTATTCCTATGGTACTGTTCTGGACTGAACCATTCAAAAAATCGTTGGAGGTGAGCAGCTCGATGTTTCATTCAGTAAAGTTGAAAACGAATAACGGTAGTAATTTCATCATGTAACTGAATAACTGTGGATTTATTTAACCACTCGACATTTGACAGAGATAAAGTAGAAATACGCAATCAAAGTTTCAAAGTTATATAACTGAACTTGAGAAATATATGGATTATACATTATATTCGGATTGTTAGAATGATGCATGCTGTTTCACTATATCATACAAGTATTGAACAAGCTTATGTTGAAGAGAACGTTGTAGAGAATGTGGATGATGGAGGAAATTGTTTCGCTACTGAATACCACGTTACTTGTGATTGAATTGACCAGAAATTCGACAGCGTTTCATTTAATCGATTAGATTGCATTCATATAGCGATAATGGCTTCACTTGTAATCGTTGTCAAATAAAAATAAATATGAACATATCCAGTGACATCTATCACACCAAATGATCGCAAGCTGGCGTTCATTTCATAAACAGTAACTAGTTTGATTTTGTTATTTGCGGATCCAACAACCTACCGTTGTAAAGATTCACGAGTTTCTTATTTGCACCGATTACTGTAAAAGTGTAGGTAATTTTTGGAAAATTGTTAACTTGTACTCGGAATCATAGTAAGAAGGGGTCAGGAGGAAAACGCGAAATGCAGACTTCGGTTTTTCAGAGATGAAAAGTAAAACAAAGAAAAGTAAAAAAACTGAACCTGGTTTGAGGAGTTACATAGCTTATCCGTCTTACTTTATTGTTTCTGCATTGAAAGGAATATTGAAAGGTGAATCATTGGTATTCATTCTGCGGGTTGCCCGATGTAGTCACATTTTATGTTGAAATTAAGTATTTAATGCTGTGTGAATTGAACTGATGTGCACTAGAGTACTTTTAGAAGTATGAGTTTGACATTCATTCCTCCTTCGCCTAAAGCGTTTCCAGACTATTTGTTAGTATAATTTTCTGTGCTACTGGCACCTGGAGATCACTCTACGAAGTGCCAGTTTTGACGATTTATTCGTGAGGTAACTGAATGCGTTGAACATCTCCAATGACACTGCAATTCATTTCAATTCATAATCCAACATGTTCAACTTCAGTGAACATTCACACCTCTATTCAATACACATTTCGACTCACAAACATCATGGAATCGTGTGCATGCATGACATGACTTACATTCGAGAAATCCCTTCGCCCATTTATTTTGATATAAGTTTTCAAGTCTCAGGATTTCTGTATAAATTTTCAAAAACGCAAAATTAGTGCATGCCGTAAAAATGGTTAACACTGGTTATTTGTTCAGAGAATGTTGACCAGCGGAATAATGCTGTGCATGTATTTCTTACATCTCATTTGCCGTACATCTCTGTAATTCGACACTGTCTGCTTCTCAAGTTTACGAAACGCTTTCTAGTTGTTCACTGCTTTTGCATGCCGAAGACGTTTTGAGAACAAGATTTATTGGTTGTGGGTTTTTGTGAAAGCACTGGTCATTTTTGTGTTGTACACTGTGAGTAACCCTGTGCAGTCAGCAGCACACTGAAGTCTCTCTAGTTGACTACTGCATTATCTAGGCATATTAGACTACAAAATCGTATGTAGGTGAACCTTCGTGCCAACAATCAGTCCGTTGAAACCTTTGGATGACGAAAGTCTAACGTGCGTGTTTGGGTATCAGGTAATTGACGATGGAATTAGTGGCTGTAGTTTAAGTCGAAGAAGGTTACTTGCTGGTCAGAAGGACAGTCTACCTTGTCAAACCATGAATGAATGACGACGTATGCGTCTGCAAGAACTGGACTAGAATCATGCTTCTGACCAATCCAAGAAAATATTAGCTAGTGCCATCTGGATGAACTAAACAGTGCTATGAATGCGAAACTCCCCCAGTAACAAGCTGGATTCAACAAAAGCAAATCCCAACGCTTCGCTTCATCATGAAAGAGAGCATAGGATTGTAATCGAATGTCTACATAAACTTAATCGGCTATGAAAATAATTTTTACATCATTGCGAACTACGGAGTGCTACGTTATTATGGTGAATTTCAAGGGGTCCACGACGAAAAACTCAGTAAGGCTGATCAGTGATTGTATTCCTGGTCTTGGTCGACTCCGGCGTGTAGTAAACCGCGAACAGCAAGATAATGGTCAAACGTTGCTGCGACAAGAAGATTGAAGAAGGTTTGAACTCTGCTGACGGATTATGTCAAGCCCCAGTCAAACTAGAAGACCTGCAAAACGAGACGAAAACGTTGGTAGAAGAAGCAGCTGGAGAAGATACGTCTTCAGGTGACCATGAAGAAAATAGAAGTGATAAGCTCAACTAATCAGCCAACCAACTGCAACGGCAGAAATGTGAAGGAAGTCTTTTTTACTTACCCAGGCAGCACCGTTTCAACTACACGTGGTGGCAAGGGTGACGTCTTCTCATTCAGCTGAGATTTGAATAGCAAAACAGGATCTCACGGTCTTCAAATCAGTTGGTCACTCTACTCTACCCAGAATAAGAAAGGAGAAATGGGTCTTCACGCTGTAGTGAAACCAATGCTTCTGCTTGATTCAGAGGCTTATCGTGTTGACAAAAGCATTTACAACAGGCAGCTGCAGACTTTTGTCAAACCTGACTTTTGTGCCCTAGTAGTGAAGATAAGGAGGCCAGAAAACATTATCAACATGGAAGTCTCAGGACAAATGAATCATGAACTTACTGACCAACAAATATGCTAGGTTGAATGGAGGTAGATGGTACATGAGTTGAGGGGTCGTTGAATGATGTCACACGCCAGTCTGTTAAGTGGAACATGAATATGACATGAAGAGGTGGGCGGTAGTACGACAGTGACACATTCGAGACCATGTGGGAAGGAAACAGACGTTAAGTGGGTGGTTTCGCAGTCAGCCACAAAGGAATACAGGGAGAGGAATGGTATGGCGAAGTGCAGTCGAGGTCTTTTTCCACTCGTACTAAGGAGAGTGACAATAATAATAATAATCTGCGAAGTAAGCTAAGCGTTGCTGAGAGAGCAGCGGACAACACTTAACGTCAAACCTCTTTTCCAACGTCAATGGCTCTCACCAGTATTCACTTAATACAGAGAATCTTTCACTACATCCACAAGTGAGTTCATGGGCTCAGTGATGTGCCTCAAATCACCTTACAGGTATAGCAATTAGCGCAGCAGTAAAGGTAGGAAGGTGGTTAGGTCCCTGTCGATACATAAGGTTTCGTGCCACATCCTAGACAGACGTTATTTCAACCATAAGAATCAACAAGCGTTGTTCTGGTACCCTAGATCTTACCACGCATAGACCAGGAGGTACATTCCATCTTCATCAAAAGATAACAAGCAAACTAGATACCTAATCACCCCTAAAAGGACCACCACTGTGCATCTTTGATTCCTTAGGATGCATGAGATATAACTTAACCTAGTGATTGAAAAAATTCCTGAGCATATTATCATGGCTGACATTTATTTGAAAAAGAAGTAAAAAGCTAGGGAAATTTTTTCTTCAATGATTCCTTTCATAAGCCTTAATTATATTTAACAAGGAAATCATAAGACCGAATAAATGTAATACGTAATGCAAGGTGTAACCTAGAAAGAGATAAATTTTACCAGTATCCCATTGGTCTTATGATTTCTTTGTTAAATATTATGATGATTGTACAGCTTTTTAATTTGGGTCATTGAAAAGGAACTTTTCCTTGCTGTTTACGTCTATTCCTTAGGACTCAAAATGTGAACAATTTCTTGATTGTTATTTTTATGCAGCCATCATGATAAAATTACTCACCACGTTTTATTGTTTCTTCGACATTCCAACGACCTATGTAAGTCTGAATTTCAATCATGCGAACTAAAACAAACAGAAGAGTGGAAATAAGTTTTGAGTGTGTGGATTATTTATTGCCTGTGTAAACGTCTTAACAGATTAAATGTTAACCTGTAGGCAACGTGAAATCAGGCCTTCTGCCTTTATGCAACTAACCATTCATGTGGTGTGCCTGTCCTCCGTGCATTATTGACACACCTCAATAAAAATGTAAATATTTATGCAAAATCTCCTGCTAACCGGTACCAAGTGATAAGGCATTTTGGCCTCATCCAAATAACTAACTAACTGCTATTCAACTCATCTCAGTCTGTAATATGCATATGCATACAAAATGTTATCCTGGAGATTTTCCAGTTTCCTGAAATAGATGAAGCACTATTGCTCACGTTGAAGCACCAGCTTCCTATTCTACTTCACAAGAATGATTTGTGTGTTATTGCATTTAGGTGACATTACATACATCTTTTGACATACGAAATATATCTCCTGGAATCCACACGGAAATGTGGAGCTGTAGAAGATATTTTTGAAAGCTAGACTGTGTGGTCAGTAATCAAATTGGTTGATTAGCTGTCTACAAATCAAGGCAAGTGATATAAGCAGAAAGAGAATGTGAACACTGATCATTATAGAACAGTCTGAAGTAAAAAGACAAACATATAATGATTTCCGGTGAAACAAACACATACACTTATAATCCACAACTTCACGGTATGAATCTGCGTATGCGTCTAGTGTTGAATTCAGATCATCTGAAATGGAGAAAAATATTTCCCTCGAGCTATTTAACCCTTCATTTATCAAGTCAAACCCACACACAAAAACTAAATTCTGTTTTATACAAGAAATCACATAATTGGCCGATTTAACTATTTCTGACGTCCACAAGCAAACAATAAAAATCTCGTTAATCAAAAGTTACGCTCATCTCACGATGCATTCTACTACTAGAATGTAATATTAATCTCGTGGTATTAGTTTTTCTACAGTGGAATGATTTCGTCCTGAGTAAATGATATTCAGTATGCTGCAATGTTAACAATGTATGCTATAGTTCAACGGAAATCGAAGCATGCGTCGGTGGCACAGTGGTTAGGACTCTCGCCGACCATGCACATGGTCCGGGGTTCGAGCCCTCGCCGACGCACACCTGATATCTATGGTTGGCCTGCGAATTTTGGGCTACCAATATCCACGCTGAAAATTCCACACTTGTACCAAAAATACGGTGTGGAATCAAGCTGTAACCATAAAATAAAATAAATAAAACAATAGACAATCAGTTGAAAACATCCAAATGTCTTTACAATGAGTAATCACACAAATGCAGAAAATCCACCACCACAATCCATTGTAAACTAAGCATCATTGATATAAGAATAAAACTTGTGCACTGTGGTAGAGTATAATTCCATTATGGGTAAATTTTTGTTTTGATAAAGTCTCAAAGTGTTATACAGTATTGTTTACTGATGACGTTTTGAGCACAATTTATT